GAGGGGGAAGGTGAGACGGAAACGCGGTACCTGGGGTGGGCTGAGTGGGGGGTGACACGGAGACGCGGTACCCGGGGTGGGCAGAGGGGGAGACGACGCGGAGACGCGGTACCTGGGACAGGCGGAGGGAGAGGTGACATGGAGACGCGGTACCTGGAGACGGCGGGGGGGGGGGTGACACAGAGAGGCGGGGCCCGGGGGGGGGGGAGGTGGGGGGGGGGGACAGAGATGGGGTACTCCGGGTGGGCGGAGGTGGGACAGAGACGCGGTACCCGGGGCGGGCGGAGGGGGAGGTGACACGGAGGATCCCAGTGGTGGGGGATAGGTGGAGCCCGAGGACGGGAGGCGTGTGACCAGGACACGGGAGCTGCGCTCAGGGGACCCTGCGCCCCAAGAGTCAGTGTTTGCCCCCCCAGGGGGCACAGAGGTGCCTGGGGCCAGTGGCTGTAACGGGGATGGGGTACCCGGGCGTGGGGTGTAAGACAGGTGACACGGGACTGCTACGGCTGTTTTTTGTCCAGAGAACTGAAAGCCCCTCCCCCCAAAAACAACCACCAATATTTTGAAAATGCTGCCTCGGTGGCTCATGGGAGTGGTGCCTGAGACCCTGTTCTCTTCTATGGCCAGGGCTCCACTGCTGGACTACATCTCCCATGATGCATCACTGCCTGGGCTGCAGCATGGCAGTGCATCATGGGGGATGTAGTCTGGCTGGGGGACCTGGCGCCTAGAGGAGAACATGGACATAATGTGATTGACCCACAACTCCCTTGATGCACCACACGCTCCCCTCACAGTGAGGGGAAGCAGTGCCCCATGGGAACACCTGGCCATGGTGCATCATGGGAGATGTAGTCCTGCCAGGGAGCCTTGGCCCATGGAGAAGAAGGGGGACATGATGCATGATGGGGGGGTGTGGGGATAGATGGACGGATGGAGAGGAAGGAGGGGGGCTCCCAGCAGGGGATTGTCCCGAGCCCCATGTTGCAGCCCCCACGTAGGGTGGGGCACAGAGGGGCTGCCCCCCATGCCCCGCCCCCTCACCTGAGGTCTCCGCCGTTCATGAGGGTCATGACCAGACACAGGTCCAGCTTGGTCTGGAAGGCGTAGGCCAGCGTGACGATGAACCGGCTGTGCACCTTGGCCAGGATCCGCTTCTCCACAATGGCCCCCTGGCCGGGAGCGGAGAGGGCGGGTCAGCTCAGCCCTGCGGCGCAGGGAGTCGCCCCCTGGACACCAGCAGCGCAGGGCACAGGACACACGGGCGGGAGGTACTGGTCCAGCGCAAAGCAACACAGGGGGGTCGGGGTGGGGAATGAAGGGAGGGAGGCAATGGAGTGAGGCGATGGAGGGGTGTGGGGGGATGGAGGGAAGGATGGAGGGGTGCGGGG